CTACTGCTAGGCACGAGACGTGGAAGAATCTCCTCTTAGAAGAGGTTACAAATAATTTTATACTCCACCTCACTAGCCCAATATTGAGGAAAAGTCTGTGTGGAAGCCCGTACAAACATCTTTGCTTCTGTTCTATCCGCTTGTGAGAATATATTTTACAAAACCAACAGACCCAATAGAGTGTTTAGTACTCATACATACATAGGTATTACGCTGACCCAGCTTAATACCTATGCGTGCACGGGGAATCTATAATAAATTATAGACTACAAAGACTTCAATTTACTTATAGACAAGAACATTTAACAAAAACTATGATGTTCCAAGTAAAGGTTCCAAAGCGCGCTATATATAAAACGATTATAATTATGTCAAAGAGTATCACTCACCGTGGACAGACGCTACAGTCTAAACCTGTTCATGAATGACCTAGGCATTTCATTTTCTGCAATTTATTACAAATCGGTCGAATTAGTAAACGTAATATTTCCTGAAGTAACTTAAGGTGGACTTCTTTATACATAGGTATTGATGGGTAAAGCACAGAAAGAGCACGCATAGAGATGCGTACAGATACGCATCTCTATGTGTATCCTGTACGCATCTCTTTCTTTGCTTGTAACCTTGCCTTCCTTTAGCAAAATTTTCTATAACTTCAACAAGTAGTGTCTTCTGAAGTTCCGAATTTAGCCTTAAAATATACTTTGCAGATTTTGAAAATATTTTAAGGTTACTGCTGGTTTTGGGGAAAATATCGATACTGTTTGTAAATATCGAACGATTAATTACATCGGTATATTATTTTCAATAGCCCATTCCTAATTGTCATTGTCAAATTGTCATGTTGTATCAGTGCAAGTAATGGCCTCTTAGGGTCGTATTCTAGAACTCTACTCAATGCGCAAGTCAGGACTTGAGTATGATTCAAAGCACTAGAAGTCATACTCGAGTCCTTGCCATTAGGGTCGTATTTTAAGTGCTTGAAATCATACTCAAGTCTGCTCAAATCCTGACTTGAACATTGAGTAGAGTTCTGGAATACGACCCTACGACTATTTCCATCCTCTAAGAATGGCCTGCTAAAGATTTATAAAGAAGAAGACATTAACCAACTCTTGCCATCTTTACTACAGAATACGAAGATTTATGAACATATGTATGCATACATTCTTTCCACCATTGAAGAGATATATACCTTCAAATACTTAGAAGAATATATTGAAACAAGAAAGTTTTTTTAAAAAAGATAGGAAAAAAATTGAAGATTTGCCTTGATGGATTTATTCCGATGCCGTGAAACTAATATTAAAAAAAAAAATATTATTTTATGTGTCAGTGTCATGTCAGTGTGTGTTTGGCGTTTTGAAAATCAATTTAATACCGAAACCTACTATATCTTTCTAATTTGTGACCGAAACCAATCTGTTACATATTTTTCTTAAATTGCATGAAATGTTTTACAAGAAAAAACAATTTGTTTGCGAAAATACAAGAGGTTGCATGAAAAATGATTATGTTTTTATTCAGTTTCTCTCAGTAGTAGGTGGAAATTAATTATAAATATGGATAAAAGTTTGTCTCAAAATTTCTCGCTTATTTGCGGGGAACTTTGCAATCTTTTGTACGTAAAAGACTATAAAAAGGCTGATATTAACTCCCTTATTGACGAGCTTAATACAAAACCTTTTAAAGCTGAGTTTTTTGTAAGAAAACATGTAAGTATGTTGAGGTTATATTTTGGTACATCACCATTCCAATTAGTGCCACAAGATATGACATACTATTTATTATTTTTAAATTTTTAAATTAAAATATTTAAAATATAAAAAATATACATTTTTTAAATTATATATTTAATTTTGCTTTTCAGGATGGGAGCACCTTAGTAACAGCATTGTGCCTTAATATAAAACCTGCGGACGAATTTTTGGCGGCGAAAACTTCACATTTGATAAACTGTGTCTTAACAAAACAGAATATACAATTTGATATAGATTATATGTGGAAAGTGATATCATGGCATGTAAAATGTTTGAAAAAATGTTCTGACGTTATATTGCCTGATATTTTACATAATATGCAGTGTATATTGCAGTCTAATCCACAAGCAGGATATAAGGTATGTGATAAATGTCTATAAATGTTTCTTTACATAAAATGTTTTAAATTCATACCATGAGAAATATTGCAATGATTGTTGCATAATTTTATAATAAATAATATATTTCTCTTGAATATATTTTATTTAAAAATTGAGTGAGAAATGCAGATTGGTTTTTAAATTAGCAAATATATTGCTTTATTTAAAAATGTTACCATAATGTAAGGGTATGAGATGTGTAATGGAATGACTCATCAGCCAATAAAGAATGATTGGTAGTTCAATAGGTACATGCTTTTTGGTGCTGAAAGTTCAACCATTTTGTAGATTGCTATGGGAAACTTTTGTATTGTCTACTAAATGTGACATGTGACAGATTCAGATATTGAAAATAAGGCTCTTTTTATGTATGCATGGCTATCATACATATAATCCCTAAACATTCACTAATAAATATCTAGACATGTACATACATAGCATGGGTGTATGTGACATTTTCGGGAATCTTGAGTGAACTCTTCTTGATTGTTTTCTTTCTTTCCAGTTTACAGAAGAACTAATTGGCAGACAAGGACTTCTGATGAACCTAATAGATACAGATAGAAATCAGATTCTAAGTACACAGAATCCCCTACAAATACGGCTGATTGCCTTGAAATGTATAATTTGCTTACTTTCCATAGAGGAAACAAAGTCAGAAGAAATAAATGTGCCTATAGATATAAAGGAATATATTTCCCATGTTGTTGTTAAGTTTCTACTTAGGGGATATGTTAAGTCACAAGATGAATTCTTATATTGTAAGGTGAGTTGATTAACACTATGTTTTTTAAAACCTGACTTACTCACAGAATTAGCAGGAAGTACTTAATATGCTTAGACAATAATTAAAACACATTTTGGAATGTACAGTCAATGACACACCAAGCTATAACTTTTGTTTGTATATCGCCTCCAGAACATCAGAACAAGAACTGTCAATGTTTATCCTGATATGCTGCAGTCTGTACCTAAGTAAAAAAATAAAACTGTCATATAAATCTTTTAAAACAACATATTTTAGACTAGTATTGTCCAAGGTAACAAAGTAGCCACTCCAATGATTAGATAAATGTTATTGGGTAAGTTGTTCAAACAACGGAATAGCAGGGTCTTGGAGTAGCACCCTGGATATGGAAAACATGTTTTTTTACTTTTCTTTTTGCCAACATGCAATCGGTCTTATGTGATAAGCAGTTAATTTTTTAATATATTTTGGCATGTCAGGCATACCCTTCCGACATTGGGGTGCATGTGGAAAACTATTTAGCTCAGTTAGTTGAATCCCAAATGTGTTTACGCTTCAATTTTCTCATTTGTGGTGGTACACACAATGCGCTAGCTAATTTATTAGTATGAGTGGCTATTCTTTCTTTATAGGACTTAGTTAGCCTACTTATTTCCTCAATAATTGTAGACATTTTAAGATGTTCATAGATCTCATGTATTTTAGTGAACCATGGAGCATTTGTAATTGACTTAAGAATACTGTTTTGGCATTGTTGCATAATTTCAATGTTTGACTGAGTAGCAGTTCCCCATAGCTCATGCTGTAAGTCCAAATTGGTTTCAGAACTGCCTCGTAAATTGTAAAACATAATGTATGAATGTACCTCCCCTCTAAGAGGACCAATGACCTGGGAAAGGTCTTTGGTACAGGCACATTACCAACAAGAGTGACCTTCTTGACCTATTAAAGAGGCTTTTATTCAATCAACAAAGGATGTTTTCCAATGTATAATAAATTTTTAAGTACCTGTTCTCATAGGAAATCAAATTATAAAAATGTATGTAAATATATTATATACTTACACAATTACAGTTACCTACATGTATAATATGAATTCCAGGCAGTAATATCAGCGCTAAGAATTCTCTCCCAGCTCTACTTCAACAGTCAAAATCTCAACATAAATCTACCAGATGTAATGGGTATTTGCCGTCATTTTGTTCTTTATGGTTTGGTGAACCAGGGCCCTCAGCCTGAAAGGATAATGCCAGCTCAGCAAACTGTAGCATCTATGCCAGTTCCCATTACTCAGAATTCGAAAGGTGGAAAGGTAATTATTGATTTATATACATTAAAGTTTCTACTTGTCATTGACCTTCATTAAAAGCAGTCTTTGATAGGGAATTGATAAAGTAACTGATAGACTGGTCATTTGTCTGGATTTGCTGTCATGCTGCTTTATGTTCCCCACAGCTAAACTAGGTAAGGTGTGGTATCATGTATTGGTTGTATATTAATAATAATACGTCAGAGTTTATAAAATCTTGTAAATGTAATATGTAAAATGGACTCCATACTTATCTCCTGCGCAATGAGAGTAGATGTAAAGAAACTGGATTTGTTCATAGATTGGTTAGACTGTGATAAAACATTTATTTTCCTGTAATATGAAATGTAACCTTTATAGAAACAAAAACTGAGAAAACAAAGAAACAATGCAGTAGAAAGTTTAAAAAAAGAGATTCCTGTATCAGATCGCAGCCTTATGAAAGATGTGGACAAATTTGAAAACCATTCTGCCTACAAACCTGCTAGTTCTAACTATCTGGAGCCCCAGAAAGCAAAGACATGGGCGTTGACGAGTGATTCTGATATGTCCGATATGGAGAGTGGTAGGGAAGCAAAACTTATTGCTTTGAGGTCGCGAGTGAGGCAGAGTGCTTCTAACTTACTCTTGGTATTGGTGAAGGTATGTTTTAGTTATATATTTTTTTTATTTGAGTTGTTAGGTGCGCTTTTATTGTGTATTCTATTGGAATCTTTTTGGACGCTTACTTATCAAAAATCAAATCAAATGTAGGTTTTTCTTCTAGTTGAATTCTCCCACATAGAAAGGTAATTTCATACTTGAACTCCTATATACCGGGTTACTTGTAAAATACTAACAACCTCGCAGGCATATATAACTAACATCACAAACAACTTTTGTAACTGAATAATTCATCAGATTTTACTTTCGTACCAAAATAAAAATATTTAAACAGATCGCTCTAGACGGTGATAACTCTATGAGGTTACAAAAAAGGGGCTAGCTTAAACGCAGGCGCGAGGGTGTGGGTCGTTGGGGAGGTCGCTTGCCCGTTTGGTATAGACCTAAAAAATGTCATATAGTACAACAAAAACTTAAGTTTATTTTTGGCAAATTTATTATGCTTTGTAAAAAGATAATGGAACAAAAGTTGTTGTTTGTGATGTTAGCACTATAGTCTTACGAGGTTGGTATTTTACAAATAATCCTGTATACTTTTTTTATAATACCAAGTGATGGGACGAACAAGCCTGGTGGTAAGCGACACGCCTATCCATAACAGTTGCAGTGCCACTCAGAGTTTTAAATCGCAAAGATCTTAGGGGCACTGCCACTGCGCCCGTCACCCTGAGACATAAGTTGACAAGTCCCATGCCTGTAATTTCACCAGCACCCTTAACTTTCTAAACGGAACACATTACTGCTTGGTGGCAGAAATAGGTAAGGTGGCAGTACTTCCATGGATGACCTTGTTCACGAGGAGCTTGACTGCTAATCAAAGTTTACATTACTTGAAAGTATTTGATTGAACATCAGTACTTTGATAGGGACATCGCATATTGACTACTAAACTGTTTCTGTTCATGAACAGACTGACCTGTAAATTTGTATGTAATACTTTAAAATGTCCAAAAGCTGTAGAATGGGAGTTACTTGTAGGTATAATTTCGTTTAATTCTGTTTGTAATTTAATGAATTTATCATATAAATCTCACATTTGTGTTCACAGGTCCGCGAAAAAAGAGAAATATTTGGCTACTGGTGGGCCTTATTACCCGATTCACCCGACGCCTCTAAATGGTCATTTGACGAGGCTGCTAAGAAGACATTGGCTTACTGTGCAGTGACTGATCCCATTTCTAGCAGCCGAGCTTGTGTGTTGAGCGTGATATTGTCGCTATTGTCTGGATCGAGGATGTATTTGTCACAGGCTGAAACTAGGTAACATGGGATAAACGCAAACTATACTACTATAGTATAACCATAGTAGAATGAAATAAGTAGGGCAAATTCGTACCAAATAACAGCGCGGCTTGTATGTGTACTAGACTTGTGCAGGCACAAGGATCGCTCCCGCTAAGGACCGTTCAGGGACAGTCCTTAGCGGGAACGATCCTAGTTAGTTCAATCGGTCAACTGAACTAGGTCGATCTTCTAGTTCATTTAGTTCATCTAGTTCCTTAGTTAGTTACTTCGTCAAGTTCGTGTTGTCCTTGCTCGGACATTGACCAAACACTCCAAATTAGTATTTTAATCACATGAACTACTACGGACTTCTAGTACTATGAGATCAATAGTACACTGTACTAAATATTTAAAAATACAATTTATATGGAATCGGTACTATTTGATTTTCCTTCATAATTTACAGGTTTAAGACTCATTCTAACTATATATCCTTTTTTTTACAAAACAAGAATTTTAGTTAGAATGGTGTGTTTAAAAATCCACATTTAGGTACGTCTATTTCATATACTCGTACACGTACATTGATATTATGCATACAGATACCTACCACACCTACCAAAAAATATGAGCTCTTACTTTTTTGCAAGCTTGTATGTATACATACCGTAGATACGTATTACAGACTTAGAACGAGCTGACAATGTTCAACGTCAATCGTGCATCCCAATCGAACTTGTACTAAAAGTAGTGAAAGATCGCTATTTGTCCCGCTCGCACCGTTCCTACTGAATAAAAGACAGGTGAACTATCAACGCAGACAGTTCCTAGTTCGTACTGAACTAAAAAGAACGATGAACTATTAAAACCGTGCAAGACGAACTAGTTCATGTCGGTCAGTGTCGGGAATATATTCCTAATACATAGTTCGTAGTTCATGAACTATACAAGCCGAATGTGTACGGGACGCACACTTTCACATAATAATGAAAGGCGTCTTTGGGATGACCGTCATGCAACGCTAGTGCATCGCTAGATTATGCAAATGTGTGCGTCCTCACACTGTGAGTTACCATACTTGTTCTTATGCTACTATGGTATAACTGTCAAATCCAATTCAATATATCCATGTGCTATCTAGCTGCCCCGATTGAGAAATGTAACGATGACGGGCGATAGCGTCACCGAATCCAATCAAAGAGCTTTTTGGTTACTCTCTTTTTGGTTATATATTCATTTCCGTAAGAACGGAAGACGCCTACTTATATATAATAGCTTCATAATTCGGTAGAAATAGTCATATCAACATCTTAACACAGCCACTTAGTATTTACTCAAAGTTCGTCAAGGCCATCCGGTGTCTTTAAAGGGTATTACAAAATGCTCACTATTGAAAAAATCCGTGCATTGTATTAAATAAGTTTGTTACAGTGACTTTTTCGAATTGAAGTTGATACACGATCTATCGTTTTGTTATGAATTTTATTTTCAATCAACGCAACGAAGAACTTACCCAAAAAAGCAAACTTACACATGACATTAAAACAGAAACTTTTTACAATTGCAGTAAAAAAGAAAACGCCTCTTTCATTTCTTTTTCTGTATCACTCGGCTACGTGATAACGTGCCTGCATAAAGTTCTAGTCGGAATACTCGACAGCGAGAGGAGCCATGCGGTTATCATAGTCGCATTGAAATGTAGTGCCGCTTTGGTACAGGCTACTCCGTATCATAGGATGAAAGAAGGGCTTATTAGTGAGGTGGTGAGGTCTACGAGAAAGTTTTTGGTGCATAGAGGTGAGCCGTTTTTGTCTTTCATTAGCTTATGATGATAACGTAGAATAAGTTGACAAGTAAGTACGTGAAGACGCAGTGCCCACCGTGCCGTGCATGACAACCATAGCTAACGACGAATTTTATTACCAGTAGAGCTCCTTGTGAAGGAGTTCGTCCACGGAAGTACTTGCTACCTTACCTATTTCTGCCACCAAGCAATATTGTGAACATTATTGCGTTCCTGTTTTGAAGGGTAAGGGTGCTGTGAGATTACAGGCACATGGGACTTGTCAACCCATGTCTCAAGGTGACGGGCGCAGTGGCAACGTCCCTCAGATCTTTGCGATATGCAACGGTTGATAGTTCAGAACTTTATATCATAAGAAAAAGACAGACGTGGTGGAACTATGGGGATGGGCTTGCACTATGACAACATTGTCACGGCAATGTCGTTGCGTTTTTTTGTCGAACCGTTTATATGGACACTGTTTGTGTTTATTGTGGGTTTGTGCAATAAACACATTTACTCGATGTTAATTGATGATGAATATATGAGTAGAAATCATAATATTGATATTTCACATTATTAATGTTACATATATAATGTCAAGGGGTAATGTCACAAATATTTTGTCGAAATACGACGTCGCAACTCCAAATAAGAACAAAGTCACAAGTGCTTCGAAAGAAATGTATCCCATAAAAGGAGTATTTATTAATAAAAAATTAAATCTCTCGTATGTGATTACTATGTAATTTTTCAGGACGATGATAAAAATGTGGTGTAAAATGTAGTAAACGCACAAAATGTTTGTAGTTAGCGTTTTAATTACTTAAATTATTATACCTTTTTCAGATACTAAATTACTTAAATAATATATTTAAGAAGTTTTTCTTTAACAAAAAAAAACAGTAAAAACAAACTATGTGAAAATGTGAAAACGCGTATGCGAGGTTTTCACTCTAAGGCGACGATACCTACATACATGTCATCATGCCTGTCTAAAAACTGGTATAGTCGGGTAAAAAATGATTCGTCGTTTGTAGCACTTTTCAGGTTCAGGTACATGTAGCGTAAATAGTTTTATATGTAATATGTAATTAATAATTACAATTTTATTTACAGATGTAACCTTACAAGTTGGTGCTTTAATAACGATGGGTTGTGTGTTATCTGTGGACCCCAAAGTAGAGGAAATATTGAAAGTAATTGAAAAAGACGCAGCATCATCAAAAACTCAAACAAGCAATACAAACACGAAAATAGAAAATGATGAATGTGATGATTTCGAAGAAGGGTATTCAGATGATGAAATGTTCACTACCAGTGATCATCGGGGTAACAGTGATGACGTTGTGTGTAATAATGATGGACAAATATACGATTTTAAAAGCTGGATTTTAGATATTTGTTTCAAGAACATGGGATGGACCTTCAAAGGAGATGAGGTTACGGTAAATTCTTGTATAAGCGCTATTAAGTATTTTGTGTATACAATACGCCCTGTAATGTTTTAAAAGAATATGAGGAATGTACTGTCGATGCTCTTACAAATCCCCTAACCGACTATTTGGTTCTGAGTACATAAGTGTGAAGAAAGGTGTTAAACAAGCTTAACCTTTAACCCGTAAAATTAATTCTTGAATTCCATATTGTTTGACGTTTTAAGAATTTTTTTAAGCCAATATGATCTTTAATTAAGCTACATAAATATAATTTTCAACCAACAAGCTGGAATCCCTTTACACTTTTCTGTTGAATGCATATAAACGGGCTCTCAGAACCAAACTAGGGAGTCAGGTATCTTAGAGCATAGACTGTACATTCAACCACTATTGAAGTCAATGAAGTAATGTTTTTAATATAATTTTAACGTTACGTAAAGGTTAAGAAAGAAGAACTGTTTAAGTGTACTTTGACAATATAATCGTTTAAAATAAAAACTAAAATAAACAACTTTTTATTTCAGAGAATCAAACCATCGGCGATCCCAATAATATTGGAATCATTACAAGTACTCTCGGCAGTGGCATTCCACCACTTGGCCGATTTACTCCAACCACACCTCACATTGCTGGCCGATATCCTCAGCGAGATCCTGCAGCATGAACATCTGGATGTGGTGCTGCAAGCCGCACGGTGTATTAGTATTATTGGTGACGCTGTACAGAAGATGGGTGAGGATTTCTGTTAAGAAAATAGAGATTAACATCGGTCTCGTAGGTTAAGTGCGAAAAAGCTGAACTTAAATAGCCAATACATTAATAACTAATTACATATTGATCGCACTCAAGCACATGCCCCGTACTAGGGAATCCTGTACAAAATGTGTCGCGGGTGCCATGGACAACACTTAGACAACCAGAAATTACTCTCATCCTTTTTTTTTATGATACCAAGTGACGGGACGAACAAGTCGTGCGCCTGGTGGTAAGCGACACTCTTGCCCGTAACCGTTGCAGTGCCATTCAAATCTTTAAATCGCAGATTTGAGGGGCACTGCCACTGCGTCCGTCACCCTGAGACATAAGTTGACAAGTCCCATGTGCTTATAATTTCACCGGCATCCCTTACCCTTTCATACCGGAGGAACGCAGTAATGCGTGAGTAATGTGAATTCTTGCTTGGTAATTGGAAATACGTAAGGTCACGAGAGTACGCACGAAATAAATAAATGTAGGCTATACAAATATTTCTCCCGGCCCGGGAATCGCAACTGGGACCTCTGTGTGGCAGACCAGAATGGTGACCGCTCGACCACAGGCAGTTAAATACAGTTACTATATTGGGTTGCATCTTCGAGTTTACTTTTATGGTAGCACTTCACATGGGTTTTTGCATTAAGTGACACAATAATGTGGCTACAATTAAATAATCTCGTAGTAAATTTGGATAAGACTAAGTTTATACAATTCTACATGCAACAATCACGACCAAAAAACTTAACTATAAAATACGATGAACAGACAGTTGCTCAAGTTAATGAAACAAATTTTTCGGGCATAACTCTTGATAGTAATTTGAACTGGAAGACACTTTTATAATTATACTATAACTACTAAGCTTAGTAAATAAGTAAATGTTGTAAAAAATCTGACAAGAATAACATCACAAAAAACTGCTCTTTGTGCTTATCACGCTTATGTAGCCTCTAGTTTGCGATATGGATTACTACTCTGGGGAAATACTGCTGCAACACACATTATGCCAAGGGCCATGTTTGGTACGGTAGCGAGAGAGTTGTGTACCTTACTTTAGGAAATTGAAGATATTAACCCTACCATCGAAGTATATTTACGAAGCCTGTGTTTATGTCAAACAAAATCTAAGCAACTTTAATATAATCAAAACTAGATATCCTAAAAACACAAGGAATAAAATAGAAATACGACTTAAACAACGCCCTAGCTTGGAATTTTACAAAAGAACGATGTTCGTACTAGCACCCAAATTATTTAATATATTACCGGCAGTTAAAGAATTATATTGCAGATAATTGAAAATGAATTTGCATATTTTGTAAGTAACTCAGTGCTACTACAATATTGTTATTGTTTCTTTATGCTATTGTATTTATTTAACTTTAATGCATGCTACATCAAAAATGAAAAAAAGAATGGTGTAAAATATTCACATGTCAAGTTTATGGTGAAGCGTACGATCTAATATAATATACTATAAGACCTGCAATGTTAACTACATTTTTCAGCGAATAAATATCTTGTATTCTTGTATTTATATTTGATATATTTGGCAAACAATCGTCATAATTGAGAAACCATTTTGATTTTTTACCTATTTTTTCATATCGCAAAAACAAATATCCATGTTAAGTGCCTCCATTATATCATGGACCAATAATTCAAGAGCACTGCTAATCGCGGTCCTAGATAGCGTAGTCGGGTATTTAGTCCCTAATTGTACACCAGATGTCGCGACGAGTACCAAATAGCTATTTTTGTAACTAATATGTTTTATATTGACGAACTACAATTTATCTAAGCTACTCGAATTTCTAGTGACAAGAAACAAATCAAATAGATGGCGCTTTGCCCAGATTGTTATGGATACTGCAGGCCATCGAGTATATAACCAGAAATAGAGACGAAATAAGGGCCATATATTCCTGGTAACACATTAGCGATACAGCTCTTATAAATATCAACTCTCGTTTGCACTGAAATATAGACAGGCCAACTACTGACCTATGTGTACGTCTCAGTATATTCCAAAAAATATTCTGTATTTATTATAATAAATCTACTATCTGTAACAATGCTGTGCTGTTCTATTCGGTGGTGTTGGAAAAACAACAAAACATCTAATTACAAAACAAACGGAATCACATTTCATCGGTAATTAAGGGTCGTATTCTAGAACTCTACTCGATGCTCAAGTCAGGATTGCACTGGAAACACAAGCACTGGAAATACGACCCTAATGGCAGGGACTTGAGTATGATTTCGAGGGCTTTAAACCATACTCAAACCCTGACTTGAGCATTGAGTAGAGTTCTAGAATACGACCCTAAATATTAAATATGTAATTTTGCAATTTTCGTCCATTATAGCAAAGCTCAAGTTAACTGGTCGATTTGAAGTGAAACAATTGACGACACCCGTCAATTGTGTCGAACTCGGGCTAGCCAATCGGAGCGCAGTTGTCACAGTAATGATATGGCAGAATAGTTTTCAAACAAATTAAATGACATTTCGTGTTTATTTCTGGTTACATACACTCGGTGATGCAGGCTATTCTTTTAAATTGTTTTTTGGGATTAGCGCCATCTATACGTGCTACAAAACGTTATGTAAATGTTATGTTTATGAATTAGTTTGTAAGACACAATATCATTTATTAACACGCATATTTCTGTCAAAGTTCAGAAAATAATTTTAGACCATGGCTCAATATTCGAATAATATTACAAAGAAAAAGCCGACTACGTATATTTCATATAAAAGAGGAATTAATTTACATCCACTGTCATTTACATAATATAAACTAAAGATCAGCGCCATCTACATATCAGACGGAATTTCGATCTTTTTCAGAGTTACGATAAATAATATGGAGATTACGTCTATCTATCAGTACGTCTATCTCGGACATGTTCAATCCTTTGGTAAAGAGCATGAGCCTAAGAAGATCTCAAAAAGAATTCAGCTGGGATGGGCTGCGTTTAGCAAGTTAGATGACATCCTTAAATCAGACAAGGTTCCACAGTGTCTGAAGACTCACTTGTTTAATCAGTGCGTTCTGCCCGCCATGACGTATGGTGCCGAGATATGGACGCTCACGTAGGAGACTGTATACAGGTTGAGTGTTGCAAAGAGCGTCATGGAGCGTGCCACGATCATCCTTGCAGACCGAGCTCCGAACGTTGAGATCCGACGACGGACGAAAATCCAGGATGCTGGAACTCAAATGGGGCTGGGCGGGACACCTAGCAAGGCAAGGTGATGACAGGTGGTGCAAGAAATCGACTAATTGGTGGCAGACGCTTTTGTCCATACAAAAGCGTCGGGCGCCCTGTTGCAAGGTGGGTCGACGACATACTACGCGTCGCGGGGCGTCAATGGATGCGGCTAGCAAGGGACCGCGGTGGATGGCGCAAACTTTGGGAGGCCTATACCCAGCATTGGGTGAAATCATGCTGTGGATGATGATGATGAATATGGAGATTAGCAGTCCTTTTATTGGTCCATGATTCTATCAAGGCTTATTACTTGCTTTGTCAGTGACGGTAAATATTGCGGTAATTCTTGCTGTATGTACGTAACGAACACTATCAGCACTTTGAACTGGCTTTTTTAAAGGGAAAATCTGGGACATAGGAATTCGGTATCAGTATGCCACTGTAGAATCACTAAGTAAGACGTTTATTCGTACTCTTCAACTAATTAAATAAACCGCTCTGGGTCGTGGTTGGTTTAAAAGATGTCCATTGTCATTTAGCGAGGCAATGCTGCTAGTATAATCGAAAGTTTTGAGCCAGTCGCGATACAGGGCGGTACTTTTTTTTAGGTTAGAATATCTAGTCAATTTCGAAAAAGAAAAAATACCTAGTATTTGACGGTTAACGTCTCAACATAACAATTCCAGAACAAACAGACCAATCGCCGCCTCTTGCCCACTGCGTGTACATGTGGGAAAAGCTGCTGACGCCACTGTCGACTGTTCTGCAGAGCTGCGACAATGCGCCTGCGAAAGCGGTTGTCTGCGACTGCATTGCTAATATAGGCGAGAAGTCTTTTAAGGAACTGCCGGTGAGAAAATTTGTTGACATCTGATTTATGAATACATATATATTTTAAATTCCATTTGTTGCCAGTAGCAAAAAAATATCTTTTTATCCCCTTTATCACCACGGGTTTTTTTCCCCATTGCCAGCCAGCCAGTGGTGATGACTGGGAATAAGTGATTATGTGTATTATATACAAATTCAAATTCAAATTTACAAAAATTTATTTCGTAATATTACATCCTTATTATTATTATACAAATTTCAAAGCGCACACATACATTACGTTAGATAATTAAATAAATTAAATGAAATTCAAATTCAAATAAAATAATGAAATAATTTTTTTTTAACTTTTTTTTTAATTTTAACTGCCTCAGTGGCCGAACGGTTACCATGCCGGACTGCCACGCAGAGGTCCCAGGTTCGATTCCCGGGCCGGGAGAAATATTTGTATGACCTACATTTATTTCTCTCGTGAGTTTGGGTGTAATTTGTGGTTGTCTATGTGTGTGTGTCCATGGCACCCGCGACACAGGGTTTTCCCTAGTGCGGGGCTATGTTGAGTGTGTGCGTTATTATTATTATTATTAAATTAAATTACATTCAAATTCAAATAAAATAATTAAATTAAATTAAATACAAATGAAATGAAATCAATATTTTTTTTATTTATTTATTTATTTATCCATAGATATACAGCTTGTTCCTATACTATAGACCTTGCCAACCTGGACATCAGGTTGTTGGCAAGACAACGCTCATTAATCCTATTCGTATATCTATTACACTTAAAATTAAGCTACACAATACAACTTAACATGATGCATAATTATATAAAAATTTACCTAAATTATACTACTACATTGTTTAGTAAATAATTTTTTAATCTGTTTTTCAATACTTTTTTACTAATTTTGCTTCTATCTCTCAGCCAATCTATTTTATTATAAATTGTTGGTATAATATATTTATCTGTTCTCTTTCCATAATTGTTTTTAAATTTACATCTGTTTAGTTTCCTTTCTCTTACTCTTCTTGTATTGTACCTGTTATACACTAATAAATTGTCGTGATTTTTGTAATAATTTTCAAGGGCTATCACAAATTCAACTTTTTTATCTACCGGTAATATTTTACATACATTAAATAATTTTTCATAATCGTCTTTAAATTTTTTCCTGGTGTTTTTATCTGTCAAGACTTTAATAATTCTTAATTGAATGTTTTTGATGTTTTTAATATAAGTTTTATAAGTACGACCATAAATACTTAAACCATAGGTAATCAGCGAGTCAGCCAATGCATAATACACCATTAGCAACGTCTGCCTATCTAAAATATTGACTAATTGATAAAGCTTACTAATAATGCATCTTAGCTTTGTACAAACATGATCAATATGGGTTTTCCAATTTAAATTCTGATCAATTTCTAATCCTAAGTACCTAAAATTGCTCACCATTTCTATATTCTGACAATTACATCCACGTTTATCATTATGTAAACATTCATAAGAATGACCTACCATATTAAAAACCCTACGGTCCACTGATTTAGCAACACGATTATGAGGCGAGTGTACATGCATACATTTAGTTTTAGCCATGTTAATAATTATTCCGTTATCATGCGCCCACTTGGTCACATTTTCTAAATCATGTTGCATATTAGTACTCAGATCTTGTGCATTTTTAGATGCGTATATAAGGCACATATCATCTGCATACATATACACCTGGCACCGTTTGATAATGTTGACCACGCTATTGACGTGCATAATGTAACCGACCGGTCCGTACACAGACCCGGTTGGTACACCCAGTTCGATCTCGGCAACCTTACCCTCTTGCCCCCCAATAACTGTGCACATAGATCGTTTACTTAAGTAGCTCCTAAACCAGTCATTAGTTGGCCCTCTTATTCCACACTCATTCATCGCCTGAAGCAAAATATCATGGTCCAATGTATCAAAAGCTTTTTTAAAGTCTATAAAAAGGACAAGAACCTGAAGACCTGCATCAAGGCTTGTGTTAATGGTCTCGGCAAAGCAGCTAAGAGCAGTACCAGTACTCCTGCCCCCTCTAAAACCATGCTGTGCGTCTAGTAGGATATTATGCTGTTCTAAAAACCGTGTTATCTGGCCAACAACTACCTTTTCCATAACCTTATTGACTACTGACAATATTGCCACAGGTCTATAGTTAGCATAGTCTACATAAGTCCCCTTTTTATGTATAGGTCGTATGAAAGCTTTTTTTAACTTCTCAGGGTAAACCCCTTTAGACACACACATATTAATGAACCTGGCTAGAATGGGACTCAATTTTTGGTTAATATATTTTAGGTCTTGTACTCTTAATTTATCTACACCTGGGGCTTTATGGCTATTTAGATCTCTGATAATTCTTTCCACCTGAAACGCGTTTACTTTTTTATATCTAAATGATACGTTACTCTCAATCACATATGTTTTCCTGTCAAAAAATTTTAAATTACAATAGTGTTTAATTTCCAATATTTCCTTTGTAAAAGTCGTAGCAAATCTACTACATATATTATACACATTGTCGGTCTTACCTAAATATTTCATTATAACAGCGTCTAAATTAGGCCTCACACGACCAGTCCACTCATTAATATGCGCCCACGTTTTTCTAGAATCGCCCTTACATTTATTTAATTGTTCTCTTCTGTACCTATTTTTTGCAAAGTTAATTAACCTATTTACCTTATTCCTAAACCGAGTATAGTCCAAACGCTTATTCATATTTTTAGGCGTTGCTTTCCAAATACGAAACAATTTATCCCTTTTTAGAATCATACAGAATAAGCGTTTGTCCATCCATGGTTGTTTGATATGGTTCTTTTTGTTATACACCAGTAACTTACGGCTTTTTAAATAAACATCCTCAAATACACTGCATATTTTATCGTACAATAATAGTGGGCAGGAAATCTCCATTAAATTATTCCACTCATACGCATCAAGTCCTTGATTCACCAAACGTTGGCACATATAAAAACGCGGCTGCACCTGACTACCCTGTTCGATATAGTTCTTTGACAGTAAACCACTCAAGCAAATTCCTATTACGTGGTGATCGGATACACAACAGTTAATAACAAACGCAGTGGCGCGCACGTGTTGCCGCCGCGTCTGTCTCACTCGCACCCATACGTGATCCAAGCACGACGTCTCAATGTGCCCATTCACTATTGCCTCCCGTGTTATCTCTGTATCCGGTATAGCACTTTGCAGACCCAATTCACACAGAACGTTTTTGTACTCCGTTGTAGTTGATTTTATTTTGCTATTTAAGGCTAGGCGCAAACGGGCCACCGACTACAACCACCGGTGGCCAGCGACCGCGACTTAACACACTTTTTCATATATTTGTTAGACGCGCCCGCACACGTGTAGCCGGTGGCCGCCACTCGCTACGTGTCCGGTGTGTGCTTAATGTGGCGGTGGCCAGCCACCGGTGGCTGTGGTCGGTGGCCCGTTTGCGCCTAGCCTAAGACATCAATGTTTATATCCCCGATAAGAACAATATTATCCATTGCCGGCATCTTTCCCAGTAGTACCTCAATTTCCCTTATAAAAACTTCTTTCTTTTTGTTCGGCGGTCGATAGACCGCAATGATATGCATAATTACTCCGTTCGAATTTAACATACCATGTATGATTTCTGCTGACCCAGTGTTTAGTGTCTCAAAGCGGATGTTGAGATTTTCTGTGGTATATATAATTAACCCTCCTCCTTTTCTTTCCTCTCTCGTATATGAGTATATTTCATAGCCTTTTATACTGTATATTGCAACCTCACTTTGTTTAATGTTGATTTCAGATAAAATAATAATATCAGTTGGCCGCTTCAGCAGACTAATTAACACCAAAAACTGGTTAAAATTTTTTCTTAACGATCTTATATTTAAATGCATTATATTCAATGCACCCTTTTGCACAATACTATCATCGTCATATTGGTTGAAATTTTCGTATCTAGTAAATGATAAGTCTACATCTTGTCCGACACTATCCATTTATTTTGCAGAAATCCAAATCATGTAGTGTGTTCCCACCGTGCTACCCGCACTTAGACAGTTTTGTTTTTGTTAGATTTTTATTCTTTTTTAGTACTTCTAAATATGACAATGATCTAACATTGTGAATTTTACTGTCGATTTCATTTTTCTTTACTAATATATTGCCGTTTTGTACCCAAATATAGTCAAATAATCCTTTCAGCTGATTCCTAGTTTCCCAGAAAATTTCTCGCTTTACTCTGGGTAGGTCTTCGTTAATATATATTCGGCTTATGTTTTTGTTGCCATATACATCGCCATTAGTAGGTTTCAACTTGCGGGCTTTCATCCATTGATCTCGTGCCCCTTTTGAGCGCAATTTGACCATAATTGCTTGCGGCATACCCTCCTTATTTTTTTCTTTTCCTACCCGCCTCGCTTCTTCGATATCATTTGTACTTACTTTCAATACTTGAGCCACTTTAGAAACCACCTCTCTTACATTCTCATTTTCTAGTTTTTGTAGTCCTATAATTTCCAGATTGGTTTCCTTGTCTCTCTGCTCTAAGTACATGACTCGCTCCTCCAAGGCATTGTTGCATTTCTCTAAGTATACGTTTTTCTGCTCTAAAGATTTTAATTTTTTTTCAGTCTCGGTCCTAAATTCCATCATTTTTTGATATTGTTCAGAATAAAAGTCCACCGTTTCATGCAACTCTTCAATACGTTTTTCCAATTTGTATATAATTTCTAATTTTCTATTGATACCTGCAAGAACCCCTTTCGCAGGAGTCTTATCCAAGTCCGACACTTCTCCTTCCTTGCCCGGCAAGTTGCAGTCTTCCTTTTGAATACAATCACTACACATTTCCCTCTTCAAAAAAACTCTCAGATTTTTTACGCATTTTCTATGATATATTGCTTCACATTCCCCTTTACATTTCACTATATCGTCCTTTGATGCCGAAACGAACAGTTTGCATTTTTTACATTGCACCATTTTTGTCGATATTTTACAAAGACAGTTCACTATACAAGAAACAAATACACACGTCTACCCGCTGAGCGTGTGCGAGCGAGAACTCCAAAAATAAAGAACAATAATATAAAAACAAATACTAGACTCAATTAAATAATAATAATAGTAATCATTTATTTCGGAACTGGTCCATAAATTATTAGTAAATTACAAAATGCTTAGGTCTAAGGGTTAGTTAATTGTACAATACATAAGGACAGCGACACAAAAACAAAACAACATTTATTTTCTATACGACCGCATGTAGTCGCATCCAATGCGCGAGTATCGACGAGTCCTAACGTGCGGACAACGCGCTCAGAATGCGGTTGGGGCTGTCTATATTTATATTTTAGACAGGTAGCTATAAATAAGGTAACCAAAGTATTTGAAATTGCGTGTCCAACTTTGTCATCCTAGTTAATAATTAGGTATATTTACTATGTAATATTTATCGGCATTACAAATTGAAAACTCTAGAACTCTTGTTTAGCTCACGAATAAATCTATATTGTATATTACTCTGCACTAAAGAAAACAATAACTGAATGAGTCTCAAACATAAAGAAACTCCTCTCTTCATCCCGTTTAGATGATTATAAACAGCCGTACACAGCACAATTCATTTCATCCATTAGAAATAGTAATGTAAAATGATGTTATTTAACTGCCTCTGTGGCCGAACGGTTACCATACCGGACTGCCACGCAGAGGTCCCGGGTGCGATTCCCGGGCCGGGAGAAATATTTGTAAGGCCTACATTTATTTCTCTCGTGAGTTTGGGTGTAATTTGTGGTTGTCTATGTGTGTGTCCACGGCACCCGCGACACAGGGTTTCCTTAGTGCGGCGCTATGTTGAGTGTGTGCGTTATTATTATTATTATATATTAACGTATAAATTTCGTAATGAATAAACTATATTCAAACATCAAAGCCGTCTTAGCGCGAAAACGGCTCGCCGACAGCCTTGTACTCGTTCAGTCAATGTGACCGTCAATGTGCGGGGCGAGGTTGCGGTATCTAAAGCTAGGGAGGGGCGGAGAGTGTCCGTTCTCATTACTTATTTGTTCTCTGCCGCGGCTTTAATGCTAGAAGCTCACTTTTTTTAGCATTTTACCTGAGTCCCTGAGCCACACCATAGTTCTCACAAATACCAAGTAACTCTTTGAGGGCACAAATTGATGGGCTCACCAGCACCATGTCGTCGGCGTAACTCTTGTTGTTGACATAGTACCGTCCAATGAATATCCAACGTTAGTGATGCTGAGCTCCTCAATCAGCGCATTCACGTACAGGTTGAAGAGCTTTGACGACGTGACACCACCTTGACGCACCCCACACCTCAACCTGTACGACTTCGACAGAGGACCAGCCCACTTAACATTATTCATCTGGTTTCCATACCAGTATTCGAAGAGCCCAATAACCTCTGACGGAAGGTCTGTCCTACAACGCTGACGGAAGGTCTGTCCCACAACGCTATTTGTGCCAAAGCACATCACACGAGACCAAATCGAAGGCCTTGGACAAGTCGAGGAAACACGCATAAACTGGTGTTCGCCGGTCCGTGTAATACCAGACAATTTGCTTGAGGCATAACACCGCAGACTCTGTTGAGAGTCCAGGCCGGAATCCGAACTGTGCATCATGTATTTTAAGGTGTTTAGTCAATATGCGATCAAGCAGACCGTCCAGCACTTTTGCCATGCAAGTGGCCAACGATATGGGTCTATAATTGTTCTATATACACACACACACACACACACACACACACACACACATACATATATATATATACTATATAGCCAACAAAGTAATGTTAGTGGATTAACGACTTAAATTTAAGTAGTGCATAATTTCCACCTGCTATTTTACTACACACTTTATAATACAATGTTGTTAACACAAGATAACACAATATTGTTTTTTTATAAAAGAATAACACTCGAATGTATATGTATGAAGCGCTTGCTCGTGAGGAGATTTGTCAAAGAGAGAATATTAATAAAAACAGTACATCCAATTTCAATGAGGAAAATTATGTCTGCTACGCAATGTACCGAGTATGCGATATGCTTCAAGTCATACACAGTTGAGTTGTACACAAAGGTAAATCGTATGTGGTGTCTCAGGTTAATATTTTTTGTATTCTATTTCAGAGACGTCAACAAGTGCTATGTTGCACCTTGTTGATGGGATCCTGTAGTGACGAGGAAGCTGCAGTCAGAGCGGCCGCGGTAAGGGCTCTCGCCATGGCTGTCACGTTTAAGACTTTGAGAGAGGTAAATCATATAATTTAAATTTTAACCGACTTCTGAGGTTGCAGTTGGCACTGTGGACTCTAGATGTGGAGGTTCAGAGTTCGATGTCCGGTGGAACCACTATGGCAACCGAACTTTTCTGAATTTATTCTGATCTGAGTGTTCTCGGTAGTGTACTCATAGTACAGGGAATTTCCTAGTTCGAGACCAGGTAAATTTGGTGCCGTTGTCTAGCAAATTACTATTATTACATCGTCAATGTTATGACTAACACGACCACTTTCAATCTACATCTCTCTGTTAAATCGTTATATAGGTGTAACAAAAACTACCTATCATGTTTGATGACAACAAATAATTTGAGAGAAAAATTTGCAATATTCACGAAAATACTTATGCTTGCAACTTAGAATTCATACGTATAAAATTTAGTTACATAGTTTAGTTTACATTTTCTATTGTGTATATTATAATTAGTTTATAAATAATAATAAATAATTCTAAGTGTACCATTTGTGTTGAAAGGGTAAACTTCCGTGGAGAGGTCATTTTTAAATTTGTTTTGGGTAATAGTGACCATGAGACATGTGAAGAGCCCGAGACAGTAGTTTGTTTGGAAAAACGAATATTTGCTATTTAGGTCAAATCGCGAAATCGCGAAAGCCTAAGAACTTGATTTTATTTATTGAAATACTTTGTTATCGTAAGTAAGATCAATAATAAAAATGATTGCAAGTGATATAACACCCTCAATGTCACATCCGTTGCTTCGTCCTGCATTATATACTCTGGGACTCATCATTCAAGCCACCTTGCATTTTCAGTATTAAATACCCTAAGCTTCAACAATGTTTAATTGACCAAAAATTATTATATAAAAGTGGCTCTAACTAAAAACCAGCATTCCAGCAGTCGAGCTGTGACATTATGCTGAGTGGGATCCGTTTCATTATTATTATAATTTTAATCACTATTTTTTTCTGCAGAAGTCTCAATAAGTTGAATAAATGTTTCTTTCTTTCTCATTATGCAACTCTGATACTGGTATACATACTAAGCATCTTTTCCATAAGTCCTTGATGAAAAACTGAATTTGTAAAACCGGGGAAAACTTTTTCTACGATTATAACAACATTTTTGTATTCAAGCCTTTTAAGAATAAAAATGTTCTCAGTAAATGTTTCTTTCTTTCATATTATGCAACTTTCATACTGGTATGCTAAACGTCTTTTCCAAGTCCTTGTTGAAAATTTGAATTTGTAAAACAGGGGATAACTTTTTCTTCGACGGCGACAATATTTTTGTATTCAAACCTTCTAAGAATAAAAATGCGAGGTAGCTCGAATTGTGAATCCGTGAGTAATATATAATAATACAATCATAATAATAACGCACACACTTATAATCCACTAGGGAAACCCTGAATAGCGGGTGCCATGGATACACATATAGATAACCACAAATTACAACCAAACTCACGAGATAACTAAATGTAGGCTATATAAATATTTCTCCCGCCTCGAGAATCCACCCGTCACGGGTTCTGCGTGGCAGACCAGCATTGTAACCGTTTATCCACTGAGGCAGGTATTGAGTGGGTGTTTAATATGAACTTCTCGAAAAGTTCTTAAAACTTATTCTTTTGGCCTATTTGTCACACTGACTATTCGGTCTTGGCCATACCTGTAATTTGTTTGGTACCGCGTTACCTTATACGTTTGTGTAACATTTTTAGGACATCTGTTTCGTGAGCGACTGCGGCGAGAACATCCTGCGGGCACTTGCTGAGCAAACGCTGGTCGTGCGGACGAAAGCAGCGTGGGCTCTTGGCAATCTCAGCGACGCGTTGGTCATCAGCATGTTTGTATTTTTATTTACAACGATCCATCAATGTCCTAATCTCAGTTGAGATCAGCCTAACAACTAGATTGAAATGTCGTAAAGAAAATCTCTTCTCTCATAATACAATTATACTTAAATATGACTAATCCAATGCCGTTTACGAATTTTCGACATGAAACAGAATAAGGTGCTTAACAAAGCCAAAATGAGATGTTTTTAAAAAAACGAACACACATTACATAATAAAACTACTAAGTAATTTAACAAATAAAGACAAACACAAAATACAACCGCAAATTCTTCTACAAACACACAAATACTTAATTACATATGTAATTCCGAGTTCACGCAAATAGCTATACTGGCCACAAGTTGATGTGTAAGCAAGTTTTTGTTAAGTCTTAAATGCAGAAAGTAACTATTTAAGTAAATATGACTCCCAGAACACTAATTTGTTATCGCTTAGCAAGGTTAAAATAATGACACGAACATCCGGAACCGGTTGCTTACAATTTATATTATTTACAACGTAAAATGTTACAATTTTCAGTTTATCTGCATGAAATATTCCACGAAGCATTTTAACAAGTTTAAACCAGTACTTACGACCAAAGATTAATAAACAAAACGGTGGATAAATATTGAAAACTGGTTATTTCAGGCATGACCCAGACTGCGACGACATAGATGATGATCTTTTGCTCCGCTTAATGGAGGTCAGCATACAGTGCGCCACCGATAATGATAAGGTAAAAATAACACAGAATATGGATAGTTTTAATGACATTCGAACGTAAATAACCAGGTAAAAACATCAGTTTTGTTATCTATGGGTCGTATTCTAGAACTCTACTCAATGCTCAAGTCAGGATTTGAGTATGGTTTAAAGCACTCGAAATCATACTCAAGTCCCTGCCATTAGGGTCGTATTTCCAGTGCTTGTTTTGCCAGTGCAATCCTGACTTGAGCATTGAATAGAGTTCTAGAATACGACCCTAAAAGTAAAGTTTGGAAGAAGCAGACTGTTAGTTTCAAAAAAATCCGCTAGATGGTGTTGGACCGTTTAACGCGTTTTCTAAATCGCGGTGTTAAGATTTTCCCTCAGCGAATGACCCTCGCGAGGTAATAACAAGAATCCATACTTACCTGGCACAGGGGATACCGTGATCAAGTAGGCGGTTCCCCCAGGGCGAGGCTCCTCCATTGCACTGCGGTTGAGCTGACCCTTGCGATTACCCCTAATGTGGGTAACTCGGGTGCGTAATTTTTGATAGTGGGGACTGCGTACGCGCTGTTCCCCTTCATATATCCTGAACATACCGATTACTAGATTTTCAATCATGAATAAAATATCCGTCAAGGATATAGTAAAGACAAGTTCTTGTTTTACAAGTACCATTAAGTGACCAGTATATATAATGTGAGTACTGTGACAATTCGATTACAAGACTAACGTAAAAAGGATTTATGAAAATCAGTCTTTTGGGAAGAGGGATTTTTTAGGTTTGAATGTTAAATGATATATCTATATCAGTTCGCCAAAACAGCAATACGCTACTGTTAACATTTGCCTAAATGTGCATTGTTATTAGTGGCACGTGTTCGTTTAATAGATCTGTTTCTATGTTAATCTTACATACGTTATCTTTTCTGTGGAAATATACGTGCGGTTTTATCGTAACTTAATTTTTGTACTCAGTACTTTCTATATTTGTTTATGATATTTATCGTTGTAATAGGTAACGTTACTTTCTTAGTTCAGTTCGAAAAAGAAATAAATTGACGTTACTATGTTTAAAATAAATTCATGAAATATTTCGTTAATTATTGTATGATTTGAGGATCTTTATAATAATATCTTACATGTTTTATTGGTATTAACAAAATCTCGTTTTCATTAAATATCATCGTAAGTGACGTCTTTATTTTTTATTTTGAGATACTGTTATCCGTACCTTAGCTGCCAGACGGAGAGATTATTTTAGAGATTATTTTTCATAAAGTCCCTAATTTTTATTTTATGTAATATTTATAATATTTCCTTCTAGCACGACTGTAGCTATAACCAGTGATCATGAATAATGCGATCATATGGGCTACTCGTAGAACTGTCAAGATTAGTTCTCCTAAAACACCGCTAGATGGCATTGAACGGTTTGACTCGTTTTCTGAATCGCGGTGTTAAGATTTTCCCTCGGCGAATGACCCTCGCGAGCTAGTGTTGAGAATTCATACTTACCTGGCACAGGGGATACCGTGATCAAGTAGGCGGTTCCCCCAGGGCGAGGCTCTTCCATTGCACTGCGGTAGGGCTGACCCCTGCGATTACCCCTAATGTGGGTAACTCGGGTGCGTAATTTTTGGTAGTGGGGACTGCGTACGCGCTGTCCCCTTCATTAACCCTTAACTATAGTCGTGGGCCCAAGTTCGTTCTTTAAAATCGCTGTAGGCGACGCAGCTCTTCCTACTCCTCAGTACGCCAAACGCAGTCACGCCAAAGCACACACTGTGATATAGACGTGTTTTGCTCGCTGCTCCGAACGTGAGTAATGATTTAAATGTGGGTCCAGGACCCACGACTATAGATACGTAAGTTTTTTGTGTGACATATTTTATCCATTTTTGTTTTTTATTTCAGTTTCTAGTCATGGAGAATCGAAAAAGTATCTTAGTAATTCAAGAAGACATATTAGAGCAATGGTTGAACACTGATTTAGACAGCGATGAGGAAGAATTCGGCGAAAATTCTATATCTGCACGCAATGCTATAACTTCACATTCTGACTAACAGTTTTCAGATAATAATGAGGATTTTGTCAGAATTAGTGTTTCTGAAATATCTGATAGCGAAAATCTAATGAAAATAAAGTTGAAACGATCTTTATGTGAACCTTATATGATCTGCATGTTTAATACATACATATTTACATGAAATATGTAAAAACTGTGTGCATATTCATGTTTTTAATTAGGTTAAATTGCACTAGTGTCAGTTTTTTTACTTTTAGACACTTTTAATTTTATTTTATTTTTGTAGAACAGTATATTTTCAAATGTAAGAAAAAAGTTTTGTTTGTGGATTTTGACATTTGTTTAATTTTTTATTGACTGTTTTTAGTAGACCTAGTTTTAGATTAAGAAAATTACGACTGATTATAATATGTTCCTACCGTTAATTTTATATAACACAGCATTTGTAAAAGTTCAAATAATACTTTGAATAAAAAAATATTATTTATGTATATATCATACTCTCTATTTTATCATCATTCCAAAATGCATGTGTCCATTGGACCCACGACTATAGAAGCGTTATTTATTTCAACGACTATAGTTAAGGGTTAAAATATGAAAATGCGTAGGCAATTTGAGTTCTCGTGTTTTTTGGTAGTAGTGAAACTTCTAAAATCCTTATAATTTGATGTTTTTGAACTTATAAAGGATTTATATAATGAAAGTAAAAAACTGAACATCGAAATAAATATATAAAACCATTATTCTATCGGTGGCTTAGTCTAAATGTATTCTTTCGCTTCTTTTGTAGGTAAAAATGAGCGCAACAAGAGGTCTAGGCAATCTTCTTCGACTTATTAACAACCAGATCTTACTCCGGAATCCACAAATGAAGATCTTATGCGAGTCGGCGCTAGACAAACTTTTGGATTGTGCATGTAAAGTAACCAACATGAAAGTGCGATGGAATGCATGCCATGCTTTAGGAAATGCTATGAAGAATAATAGTTTGTTTACATGTTTTAATGGATGGCAGGTAAGTTATCTATTGAAATTGTAACAAGTAGTAAAAATAGATCTTTAATTAATAAGGTTATAAAAACAATTTTATAAGTATTTTGTTTATTATGTTAATATATGTAAATCTGTATAAATAATGATTATTGCTTGCTGAGAATGGTGAACGATAATGTAATGTAATCTTAGTCTCGGACAAAGTTCACAAAATCTACGCACTGCGGTACTTTTGTTTTGCTATTTTATTAAATTATTTATTACTTAGTAAAATGAGATATCAAAACCCCGCTGTTTCGTACAGAACGGTTCCGGATTCCTAAAAACCTTTTGTTACACGCAATGATTATTATAATCAAATTATTATTTATTTCAAATTGTGAATGTTTGGACCGTGAGGGGTGAATCTTTGCAAATTTTGGCCATTAAGTCAAAAACTATGTAACAAACAAAGTTGTGTAATGTGTAAAGCTTTTTCATGCAATGCACTTGACCTTGACCTAGTAACTTTTCCTAGTATGCCAGTGCGTGCAATCATGTTAGAAGACTATGACAAATTTCTAATCTATTGTGACTTACAGTAGACTTACCTATGTATTTCTGCCGCCAAGAAGTAGTGTCAGTATTACTGTGTTCCGGTCTTGAAGCGTAAGAGTGCTGGTGAAATTACAGGCACATGAGACTTGTCAACTTACGTCTCGGGGTGATGGGCACAGTAGTAGTGCACCTCAGGTCTTTGCGATTTAAAGCTCTGAGTGGCACTGCAAGTGTTATGGACAGGCGTGTAGCTTACCGTCAGGCGCACGACTTGTTCGTCCCGTCTCTTGATATTATAAAACGTCCTTTTTGAACCGACTTCAAAAAAGGAGGTTTTCAATTGGTCTGTAATATTTTTTTGTGCATTTATTATGCGACGACTCCGACATTTGTGAACCGAATTCGATGATTCGTTTTTTTGTTGGAAAGGTGGCCTCTGAAGAACCATTCAAAGAATTCCACCTCTCTGATGAATCCGGTTCATAGGATTTCGTCCACTTTCCGTTAACCGATTTCAATAAAATTTGGCAAATACATGTAATACCACAAACCTTTGAGATCGTTATTTTATTACCCCTTAGGTTTACATCGCAACTGTAATATGCATTAATATTATAGTATATCATATAAGTCACGTGCGCTAATGGATAGTAATATAATAATATGAATACACGCGTAAAAACATCTGTTACGTTATAGTATTATAATTAACATATGCGTTATAATTCGTTTTTAGAAATATACTGTGATATATAGACGGACACAGAAGTCCATCGCGAGAGGTTTTTTAGTTTTTACGTTCGCATCGCAACTGTAATATGTAATGGCATGTCATATAGGGCACGTACGCTAATGGATAGTAGAATATATTATAATGTGTAACTGAATCACAACTATACACGTGTAAAGAGCATCGGTTACGTTACAGTATTATAATTAGCACAAGCGTTGTAATGTGTTTTTATATAAAATCAGAGAACTTGTTTAGTTTGCTGGACCAATATCGTAGAGGATATCGATATCGTAGAGTATAGTTTATTATGCCATTGGACGCACATAATGTAGACGTACGTAGGGATTCAGCAATAGTTGATAATAGGGCTTTTATTCCGGGAATCGCGGTGTGGAAAATATCGAAAGTATCGACAATTTTTTGACGTACTCTACACTCGAGACTGACTTTTCAGTCTCGGGAGTCAGCGAGACTTTTGAAAATTAAGTTACTTAATTACAGAATGTTAAAAATGTACTAAACCAACTTTGATTTTTTATTCTGGTTACATGGACATGGCAACGCTGTAGAGTGAAGCTTAATATTTAACCTGTGGAGATTGAGGAACGGTAGTAATAAAATCAGGCTCTCTATCTGAAACTGTATTAAATGCTCTTTATTTCTTATGTATAAAAATGGAAAAGTAACATACATAAATAATGTTTTATTTTATAATTTGAGTTAATAATTAGAATACCATGTTTTGACTGTCAAGATGTCTACTCTACTCTCGAAAGTTTCATTTTTCTTGGGATATCGTAAATTTTTTCTCGGGCCGCGGAAATGTAGCGAGATTGAAAGCCCTAGTTTATACGGTGTTTATCAAATGTGTTCACGTCTGCGTAATACGACTTAGGTTTTTGAAATAAAACAGAATATTATTTTCCATATCAAAAATAAAAGTTAATCCTAATGTTCGGATTTTTTTAGATGTTCGATGAATTCTTTGGCCTATGTTTGCGTAATAAAGTTAGTTTGCACCTACGTCTGTAGTGATCGTGTTGAAATCGTAACCAGTCACATTTTTTTACAGAGGCAAGTATTTCCCAATCTATGCATGCTAACTCAAGAATGCAAGAATCTCAAGGTTCGCATCAACGCCGCTTCGGCCCTCCGAGCGCCCTCCACACGTGAACAGTACGGGGATCATTTTACAGTGGTCTGGCGGGGAATCATGGCTTCAATGGAAAACGCTGCTAATGTCGATGACTTTTCCGAGTACAGACATAAGGATAATCTTATTGAACAGGTGAGTTATTTTGTGTGGCCGAATGCAGCAGAAAACAGAAACTGTTCGAGATAAGGGTTCATACCACAAATCATCATTAAAAATCTCTAATCCTAAAGTTTTACTGTTACATTAAATACTGAACATTAAATATTAAATATTTATTAGACAACGTCACACACGTTGCTTTGATCCCAAAGTAGCTAAAGCACTCGTGTTATGGAAATCGGAAACACCGACTGTACCACAAATATCCAGACCCGAGACAATATAGAAAAATTAGCTTCTATATACATTGACCCCGCCGGGGATCGAATGCGGGACCTCAGATAGTGCGACACCATGAAACTCGGTGTGCAAGCCAATCTTCAACAAGCTTTTTTTTTATAAGCTTAGTTAAGTTTATTCTGCCATCTTTGGAAGGTTGTTGTTGTTGGATGTCGTTGACTTTTCATCCGCGTCCAAGGGCAAAATTAAGCAAATTGTTCAAGTACACATTTAAGAATAATTGAAATTTAAGAAAAACACGATTAATCTATATATCGTGACGTTGATGTGACATTGGTGCCACGAATCTGTCACCTAAAAATTTAATATAATAGGTAAAGTAACATTTTGGTGGGGATTTTTTTTCTACAAATCTTCACTGCTTAACAAGTACGTAGTTAGTAGGGATTTGTGGAATAAACCGACAAAAGCGACGCCTGTGCTCTGCAACAGTACATTATAAATGATACGTTAAACACTACATTAACCCTAGGTACACATTATGATTTGGTTCAAACACGATAAGATAACGTGATAAAGGGAGTTAACCAAACGTACGCATTTTCCTCATATAACATGCGGTTATTCATTGCAGGTCACTAAACCGAGTTGAGGCATACGATGTTATGAATTGGAAATTTTGTACAAAGTTGTTGCTATCTCTGTCGGCTAAGAAACTTTGCCACGCGATTTTTCTAGAATTGCAATAGACGACTAGATAAAAAAACTGTATTGTTATTACTTTTTATATTCAGAATCTTTTTATTATTACTCGACAGAAAGAAAACTAAATGGTCTACATTGTCACGGGTCTCTATGTTTATGGTACCGTCGTTGTTTCCGATTTCCACAAACGGAATGTTGTAGTTACTTACTTTGTGATCAGAGCAACGTGTGTGATATTGTTTAATATTTATTATTTATTTATTACACATAACTGTAATCATACGTAAAGGACCCGAAGTGTCGGTTTGTTTGAAAAGTCAAATAAAAATAATAAGTTAAAAAAAAAAGATCCGAAAAAATAGTTTCATTTCGAATCTATTCCAAATGTTTGAAAATTGCAACCTTTGCATTGGTTTGGGTACTTTATAGTAGTCAATTTCAAGTTTGTATGTTTTTGTAACCCTATATGTATATTAACTTTTAAATTGTTTTTTTTTTACACAAAATTTCGTCGAGTATCATTAATTTATTATTTTATTTACTTCGACGAACTTTTCTCCCAAAAAACCAGCAGCGGTGTTTTAAATGAAATTTGAATGATGAATAAATGAATCTTAGAAAGATATTTCTTTCAGCTTTGCGTGACCTTAGCCCACATGTGCTGTCGCCTCAAACCATCAGACCTCACGGATATCCTCGACCCTGTAGTCTTTCACTTCGAATGCGCCAAGACTCTCTTAACACAGCTTTATCACAAGCTGCCTCCTGAAAATCCGTCTTGTATGGAAATTCTGCAGGCAGCTAAATACGTCACTATGGATTTGACAGCGAGTGGTGATACGCAAACGCAGGCTTTGGGAATGTTACAAGAGATTTTCATTTGGGATTTGTGAATGGAATTACACGAGGAAATGGAATGTCACAAAAATATTAATAGAATTAAAAATATCATTTCACTACTTGAGCCGAATTGTGAATTGTGGCCTAAACTCTCATAGAGTCCCGATCGTAGTGGAACGCGTACACGTAGATACACGACAGTAGAAAAGGCAAGCATGTACAAGTAGGTGCTTTTATACTTGTAGTAGTAGAGCTTTTTGTGAAAGAGTTCGTCCAGGGAAATACTGCCACCTGCCCTATTTCTGCCGCCAAGCAGTAATGCTCACGTTACTATGCTCCGGTTTTGAAGGGTATGGTTGTTAGTGAAATTACAACACTTGTTAACTTATGTCTCAAGCAACTACAACTGCTATGGACAGGCGTGTCTCTTACCACCAGGCACCGACTTGTTCGTTCCGTCACTTGGTATCATAAAAAAGAGGATATTCGTGTTATTTTTTGTTACTTATTACATCTAAGATTCTAACACTACTTTGATACTACTTTGAATTGCTTCAGGATTAATTAATTCTATGCACATAAATAAATAGTTGATCTGCCTTAATTACTCAATATAAATATAAGATTGTAATTTTATTTATAAGAAGCACCCGTAGGTTTAAAAAAATATATATTTTGCACTTGTTAAAAAATAAATATATGTTAATTACTAAACATGTACTGTTGTTTATTTTATTACATAGTTATCAATACATAGTACAACGAAACCCATACACTTTATCTAACAAATTGAATTATTACATAATAATGCAGGCATTATTTATTTAGTATTTTTATTATTACCATTTTCTTCTTCATTTGTATATGTGCAATATGTGTATTCTGTTGCGCCCTCAAATAATTTTATTTTACTGTTTTTCCTGTAACCAGAAGGTTGCCTGGAAGAGATTGCTATTTAGCAATAAGGCCGGCTGTTGTACCCGTAATTTTTACTTTTTGTTGTATTGTTATTACACATTTGTCCGTGTGCAAAAAAGAATATTTGTATTGTATTGTATTGTATAATAAATAAAAGTCTTCAGTTCATTACGTACTCTGAAATCTTTGTAAAATAAGTATCATTACAAAACTCCTGGGGCATTAATCGGACTCTTCGTGCCGGTAATTATGAAACAGAAAAACACAAAACTTATATTGTATACAGAAAGTTTTCGTTTGTCTTAAAATGGTTAAATCTGAAATTGACCCAGAGGTTTCCTTGTAACATTATTTTAGTATTAGCAACTGATATGCAAACTTCGTTAAAAGGCAACGACTCTTTCAATGGCCAGTTTCCATGTGTTACTTTTGTAAATTTTCCTATTTGCGTCATCCTCGTGTTATTTATTTATTCACGTGCAAAATTGAATATCGGTCGTTAACGGAAACCTTAAACCGTACTCGCAATTGTTCTACTTGACTTTTGAACATTTTTAAGTATTCTTTATAATATATAGAGAATTTATTGCATTTAATTTTATTGTTCCTTGACGTAATATTATTGTAAATGATTTTACACCGTTTCCTACATTGATTATAGAATAAAATAATTTACATTCTGCGTTAAATAAAACAGAATTGTCAGAGTGGCAATTATGCCTAGTTGAAAAATAGTTTTATTCCGAAGTACGTGTGCACTTTTGATGCTTTCACGCAATGATAATATATTTATTTTCACGGCCGAGCAACATTGTTCAGTCGAATGTATTTTGTCCTAGGTTACTTATAATAGTGTGCTTTTAAAATGAGGATGAAATAAATAAATAAAATGTGTACGTAGATAAATACTTTGTACACGCGCCAGCACATCAAGCTACACATTAACGTATCTTGTTCCGTTGCACTGGAGGCGATTTTCGGACATAAATGTGTAGTCTGATGTGCCGTTGTCCGTACATATTAAGTAATATGGTGACAATTTGGAACAGAGTCAATTTAATTAAAGCAAACATCATTGTTAATTACCAATTTAATATTGTTATGTCTGGTTGAAAACTACTACAATTGCCCTACCTAAAGTCAAAACAAGACTGATAAAGTTTCTGCTACTAATCTAGTTTCAGCTACACCGGGGTAGAAAACATTGACGTAAATAACTCAGTTCAGAAACAAAGATAAGAAAGTCACTCCGTAATTATAATTAGATATCTTCTTCATTAAGACGTGCAGAGTTTATTTTGATTGATTAGATCCTACATTCGGGATTTGTAATTGTGAATGAGAACATTTACAAAATTCAATTCAGCAGTCAATGAATTTCATATATTATATACTTTAATGAAATTATTACTGAATAAGTAAATAAATAAGTTTATTATTTTATTTATTCATTTGGATCATCGAACTATGATCCGTATTATTATATAATATAAAGACATATACATACATATAAAAACGAAATAACTAATAACTACACGAATTGCACTTGTTGGCGACGTGTGGCGCAATCTGGTGTCAGGTAACCGGCCCTGGAATCGTTGGTATACGACAACCTTTGGCCAAAAGATCTCTTTCGAACATCTGTCGACCTTTGTGATCGATAGTTGTTCGATCGGCACTCTCACCGCAAACGAATTAAAATTAACGTTATGGCGGGAGTTTAAACGCTCGACTCTCAGAATGTATTTGGCTTTCTAATGTACTACATTATCTCCTCAGACTTCGTGGAGTAATACAGTCGCGACTGGTACATCAGCGTCGTCGGTATGGCTGGACGCAGCAAAAAAGTTCGGTCCTGTCGGTGCTGTGCCATATAGGTTACGACTGGATGGCTTCCTCTTCTCCACCGTTGTGAAGCCGTCTTCGTCGTACCGGTCCGTCGGCCTCTGTGATTTTGCAACTTCAGAGACCACATTGACCACAGCTGAAGTTGAACACCTCATAATGAACATTATTGGATACATCGTAAACGAGACATAGTTTTATTATTTTAGTATTTGTCATTTCATCATATTTCTTAAAAGAAATCCCATTGATAGTTTTTCACCTGGATGTCCTGTTTACAAATGAAATAATTAATGTCTTGATATATATTTGAGTTCAATTATTGAAGATAAACAGAACTGGGATATCCAGGTGGAAGTATACCTACCAGCGTCATAGCATGATTCTAAAAGATTCAGTGGTGATGCGAGATAATGGCAATAAAAAATAAAAATGCTGATTATGAAATGTTACAGTTTAAAAACTTAGACCTAAAACTCCTGTATTACTTCTCTCTTTGGACCTAGTTTACAATCTGTATTCGAAATTCCTTTTAAGTAACTAAATATTATACAGGGTGGCGCAATAGAACGTGCATATTGCGTCATCTTTTTTCGCGCGGTAAAGAGTGCGTGGGAGGGGGGAGCCTAGCGTGATTAGATAGTGGCACTCGTGAAGTTTTAGTAGCCATGAGTCACTTCGACGGGAAGCGTCGCGCTTTTTGTGTTCGCACGTTTTACGAGAACGGTCGTTCATACATCTCTACAAGGCGACTGTATTGCTCTGAATATGGATTAATACACATCAATGAAGCTCCGAGTGCAAATTTAATTAAAATATGGATAAAGCGCTTTGAAGAGACCGGTTCCACGTTTAAACAATCAGCAAAAGGTCGTCCAAGAACGTCTAGGACCACAGACAATATTGAGAGGGTGAAGGACTCAGTACGAGAAAATCCGCAAGTGTCTACTCGGAAGCGATCGGCGGCTTTAAACTTGTCGCGACGAAGTTTACAGCGAATTTTGAAGTTGGATCTTAAACTGCATCCCTATAAGCTCCAGTTAACACAGGAATTAAAAGATACCGACTTTGGAGCAAGGTTAGCATTTGCTGAAGAAATGCTTCGTCGATTTTCCACTTTTGAGAACATTCTTTTTTCTGACGAGGCTCATTTTCATTTAAATGGGTTCGTAAACCGACAAAATTGTCGTTATTGGAATGACGAGAATCCAAAAATGAAACATCAAAAACCACTGCATAGTCCGAAAGTAACGGTATGGGCAGCAATCTCAAGCAAAGGAATTATTGGCCCTTTCTTTTTTGAAGATTCACGAGGACGAAACATCACCGTTAACACCGACCGCTATGTTGCGATGTTAGAAGGATATTTGACTCCAGAGCTTGCGAGATCAAGAATAGCGAATACGAGGACTTGGTTCCAACAAGACGGAGCGACCTGTCACACATCGAATGACTCTATGGCGGTTGTGAGACAGATGTTTCCAGCTAGACTAATTTCCAAAAGAGGTGATATCCCCTGGCCCCCACGTAGCCCTGACTTGACGCCTCCTGACTTTTTTTTGTGGGGATACCTCAAACACAAAGTGTACATGAACAATCCGAGGAACATCAGGCAACTAAAGGAAAATATCCGTGGGGAAATGGCAGCAATCACCCCAGATTTATTAAGAAAAGTTTTCACAAATCTGCGTTCGCGTTTAGAGGAGTGCCATCTTCGAGAGGGCCGTCATTTAGATGACGTTATTTTTAAAAAATAAACTTCGTTTAATTACCTATTCATCATAGCTTTTATTTCAAATATACCTTTTGTATTTATTTTTTTAGCCTATACTTAATTTATGCACGTTCTATTGCGCCACCCTGTATACTTGTGCTAGGTGTCCCTATGCCAGGAAACAAACACTGACCTCCTGATTTATTAAACAAGGCTATATTGCTTCGGGGCAGGTACCTGTAGATGTGTCAGTAAGTACCTAGATACCTACAGGAAATGGAACTATTTTTCAGATCTAAGTGGCGTATATTTGTTCGCTGTGTATATAATTTCCTTTTTTTTTCCATCCTCTAGATATAATCGCATAATGTTTAACATCATAAATGGTGATGTCGACTGTCCCGAATTACTGAGTAGTATTATGTTTAATATACCTACGCGTTCCATGAGATACTATCGTCCTGTTGCGGTTCCGCTGGCGAGGACTAAATATAGACAAAACAGTTTTCTGTATAGGGCTTGCAAGAATTTAAACGATGTGTTGAGCAGGATTGGACTTGATATTGACATTTTCAATTCTAATTCGAACTCATTAAAGCGTAAACTTGTGGACGCGTTTGTTTAACGGGTGATCATTTCGTGGCGCAGGTATTGGGATATATGTGGTTTGCATTGCGTACATGCATGCATATGTATATATGTGTGTATGTGTGTATGTACATATATGTAGATATATATATAAGTATATATTAAGTTTATTTGTTGTGACTACTTTCTAAGTGCTCATTGTTTAGTTATTATGTTATTATAAGCGAAAACCTTTAATTGGCTATAATGTATTTGTTGATGTTTTTTAATTTTTTG